CTTTTCAACATGATGAGCTGCGAGGCTGCTACCGTCCTGCTGCCGTCGGCTCACCCTTGGCAGTTCATAGCACTCCATGTCAGATTTCTCCGTGCGTCTGGTACAAATGTACCCATGCATGCAATGCGTATAAACTTGTCCAGTCCTTCGTTTGTCAGCCGACAGGGCTGAGCATAGGATCACCGCCCATGTTAGTTGGTGATGCTACAATAGTGAACAAGGTAAAGAATGATATTCCGTTCATCTTCCTAGCTTCTCTTTCACCCTTGCCGTTGCATGTCCATCTCCGGGCTTCCTAATCTGGCTTAAAGACTTTTGAGTACAGGATTTCCCCGCAGTCACAAACCCCCTTCCTTTGCATCGCCATCGAGTCTACCGCGGCCGTTTCCCACCCCGAGACCCCTAACAACACCGCATCGTGCGGTGGAGCGTTAGATGATTGCCAAACAACGCATGATTATTTGTCCGGGTCGTTTTTCGTTGCCATTAGCCGCTCATCTTGATGATCTAGTTTGTGCATGTGCTGTGTGCTCATTGGGTCTGGTGTCTTGCGGGGGGTGTCAGCCGATGGTGGCGGCAGGTGGGCAGCAGAGGCAGGCGATAAAACCACAAGACTTTACGGTGCATGGGGGCAAAGCGCCGCAGCCGCCGGACTTTCGCAGAATACGGATCTCAGGCAGAGTGCGTATTTTGTTCTGGAGTTTTTCCGAGTGCTCGTGTCGATTTGGATGCAGTTTTGGGGGTGTTGTTTTGGTCATGGCAAGTTGGGCGGCTGCGACTTGGACGGAAACATCTGAAACCTTGAAGCTGGGCTAAAGCTGCACATGCAGAAGAAGCCTTAGACGACCAACACAACGATGCGGCTCTGCAGGCAAATATCGCGTCTTCGACACCATCTTGCGACACAACATGCAGTGGGAACCTACCGGGGACATTACCAGTTGACGAGCAAAGCAAGCAGGGCAGGCTTTGCACGGATTGAAGAAACGAAATAGGAAAAGTAGCAGCACCTCCATCCTATCGCATCCTCCTGCCAGAAGCCGTGGCTCTCCGTCCGGATTCCGGAACCATCCAGTATAGCACCGTTTGACGTGCACAGTACGGAATGCTACGGGACACCCGGCAGGGTTCCCATGTCCGGCTGCGCCTCTTTGGACCGGGCTCATGGCTTTTGCTAGAGGCGGTCGGCTTGTGAAGTACGGCAACGCAGATATTTAGCACGTCGGTACAGGTCCATTGTAACTTGGACCAAAGGCCGTCACGTTGTTTCTCTAGATTGACTGAGCCAGTCACATGGTCACACTGGCCGTCGAAAATGCAACCTTGACTTTTTTACGCGCCGCAGTCGTGCAGCGGGAGGAGTGTACCACGTTCTGCTCGGGACCATAGCCCGAGGTTGAGATTATGGGCAAACACGACTGCAAAAAGACGTCTACACACTCTGCACTGGGAGAAAGCAAAAAAGGGTACCTCTGGCTTGAGTATCTTGAGTTCTGGTATTACTTTGCCCCTCCCCCGCCTTTTTCTTCATCTTTGGCCCCGTCAAAAAAAAAAATAATGACCCTTGTCCAGATCCATGTAAACCATAACTTATTCCTTCATCGCACCCATGCCAGCTCTGTGCAGAGACCAGCCCTTGTACACATGCTAGAAAAATCGCAGGCTCAGGTACAAGTGCCAAGGCGGGCTGGCCACCTACTAGTACCTACTAGGAGGTACCTACAGGCCCTCGGAGATCCGGGGAGCATTAAAGTCGTCTAACCCAGTCGGAGGGCTTGGCTTCCGTCTTTGTCGGCCCTTTCGTGTCACTTTGCGGGTCGACGCCGTCATGATTCCGATTACTATCAGTGTCCATTAAGAATCCCCATCCCAAGATACTGGTTTCTTAAAACCCACGCGACGGCATGACGACAGGACTGACCGACCCAGCTTACCCAACGTGGAAACCTGGTGCCGAGTGTGAGCGGCAAATTCGTCATGTGTACGGAGTACCCCTTTTATGCCCGTATGCCGCTTTTGCTTCCATGCACTGGTTTTGCGCTCCGCCTTTTCGCCACCTTTGGTGGTCGCGGAGAGTGATGTCATCGGCCTTTGTAATGCGACACGCATGATTACCGGGCCGCAAATCTGCCGCCGGAACACAGTCCGGACCAAAGGGCGCTTGAGATTCAGTTGATCGCCCTTTGGTTTTAGGTTTTTTATTCAAGGATCGATTCCTGGGTCTCTCTTGTTTTAATGATCAATGGGTGGATTGCGGTGAAGAGTGCAAGAACCTGGCAAGGCAGGAGAGGGCATAGACAAAAAGAAACACCGGACACTCTAACTACTTGGGCAAAATATTAGGTGAGTGGTTTCCGTTTTGTGTCCCCTGCCACGCGCGTGCCTGGATTTGTCCTAGATGATGCAAATAGTGCCTCATCGTCGGTGCCACATACGTTGAGACAATGACGACATTGGATTCTGGGAGGCTAATGGGATCACAGAGTAAGATTTGTTCCTTTGGCAAGAATGCTCCAAGAGAATTACCGTAGTGTGAAATGGCTAGTTTTGAGCTCCAACAATATCTCTATTTGTTCAACTTTGAATCTTGGATACTGTCAATGGAGTAGCCATAACTGGCCATGGTTAGTTGGGAATTGTGCGCATGCCAATCATCCTCGGCCACATTAAAACAAGGAATTTAAGGATTTGCGCGACAAAGCCAATAACCTCTCCAAGACAGAATGTAGTTTCTTTTCCTTGGCCATTCCTATTTGCACAGTTCACAGCGGCCATGGTGAAAACGTCAAATGGTATAGGGTACCCATCTCCCAGCTCCCCACCAATCAACCAATCAAGTAGCCGCGCAACGGCCCGCCGAACATCAACGTTCAACCTCATTTCATCCCATCATCAGAGTGAAGCTCAGCCAGCTTTCATCCTGCATCGCGGCATCCATCAAGATATCGCGGCCTATACAGCCCGGTGGCACTGACATCAGCTACAATGTACGCCACGTACAGCATACCATCGTTGCTGTTCGTCGTGGGAGCGTGTACGTGAACACGGAGCGCGTGCCCCGGCACCCCTACTAATCCCATGACAGATATGCTCTTCACCGGCAGCGGCGAGTCCTTCAACGTCGGCGCCTTTTTGGAGTCAATCTCTCCGGCGGCCTGGGCGAACCTGGGCATCGCGCTGTGCATGGGCCTGTCTGTCGTTGGTGCAGCATGGTACGAACGGCCGCCATCTCTCCGTCATCGACGGGCCGGGACAAAAAAAACCTAAAAACTGACCGGGGGTGTGCGTGTAGGGGCATCGCCATTACCGGCTCGTCTATCCTCGGCGCAGCGGTGAGGGCGCCGCGTATCCGCACCAAGAACCTCATTTCCATCATCTTCTGCGAAGTCGTCGCCATCTACGGCATCATCATGTCCATCGTGTTCTCGTCCAAGGTTGGCTACGCGACGGGTGCCGCGGCCTCCTCCGCTGATGCGTATTACACGGGCTACTCGTTGTTCTGGTCTGGCATTACCGTGGGCATGTGTAATTTCATCTGCGGCGTGGCTGTTGGCATCAACGGGAGTGGTGCTGCTCTTGCCGATGCTGCCGATGCATCATTGTGCGTAGTTTCCGCATTGTTTCTCTCCTTTTCAGGGAGGCCGTCATGTTTCCTATTGCTGCGCGCTAACTCTTGTTGGGCAGATTTGTCAAGATTTTGGTCATTGAGATTTTCAGCTCGGTGCTGGGCTTGTTTGGTCTTATTATTGGTCTGCTTGTTTCGAGCAAGGCCAACTCGATGGACGGCAGTGGATAATGACTCGGAGGGGCGTCAGCCGGGCTCTTTTGTAAGATGGGGGCGCGGGTATGTATGGTATCTTTGCGACGTTGAGATCACTGATGAACTGCGCGGAACTGGGCAAGCAGGTAATGAAAAGCGTCAAAATATTTCACAATTTAACATGGTTGGTCTCGCATTCGCGCCCATATTCGTCGTTCTATTGATTACATCTGTGCACAGCGTCCTATTCTCTGCGCGCCCCCTCTATTTTGCCCCTGACCGTGGTTCAACATGTGTGACGAGTTTTATAACCGAACATGTAAACGCGAGAGGCTTTGGTGACTTGTCGTGTGTTTTGCGGCATTGCTCTTGCTGGGCAACCCCTGCTTGTTTAAAGCTGCCTGGCTGCGTCCCTTTGGAGGCTAGCCTTCGTACTGAATAACCACCTATAAGGCCTGATACGCGATTGCATACCTGATGGCGCAGAAACACCCATCTATAACTGAGCCCACGGTACACCTGGACAGGGCGGCGTACTTTGGTCATGACTATCATTAGGGGGGTTACGACCCAGGTGGCGATATAGTGGTTGCATGGTTTCCTCAAGCTAGCTTCATGGTTACAACCGACAAGACACTGCTGACTTGTTCTAAAGAAACCAGCAAGAAAAAAACCAGAAAGAAAAAAAAATAATAAAATAGAAAGCCGTTTATCGTACGCACGGAGCGTCTTCACCGAGCCCTCGTTGACTAGGCGATCTTGCACCAATCTCGATGTAGTCACCGCAGTGTTTGTGAGAGATTGAGACCAAGGTAGCAAGCTAAACAAATATCTGGGACTTGAGTTTGGTCCGTAAATAAGAAAAACCGCGTGCTTTAGCTCTTTGAGTGGTATCGCTTAGAAAACTACTGCTACTTCGATGTAATGAATCCCACCACCTCCAGCTGTTTCATATCTAAAACGCCTGCCAAATCCCAATATCCTGATCAACGTTCTCGTCTCTGCTAGTTGATACATAGCGAGCCAGTAACCAGACTAGGCGCCATCATGCCGGATGACGAGACACATCTGCCGCGGGGCGTGGTAGGGATATTTCAGTTGTCCGAGAGCACCGGCAAGATACAAGACGAAAACCCCCCTACGCAGGGATTTGGTGTTCGTAGGTTCGTGGCATGAAATTTGCATGAGGTGCGCCATGTCCAGCGTTCCGTCAGCCAGAAGGCCTTGGCTGCTGTAGATGTCACAAAATGCAGCAATACTCGTACATTTCTGCGTCAAACCCATCATCCTTATCCTCGGTGCTCGCCGTACTTCCTCGTTGATTGCCAATATATTTCGGGAACCAAGGGATCTCACGCGTCAGTTTTTCCGGGGCTTCCCGCCAGTAAGGAGCAGAATGCAAGACATGGATCATGGCGTACGAAGAGCGGTAATCTTCCAGCAGCTGGCGTAGCCTGATTTCCAAATCAGAACCTTGCTCTGCGGTGCACCATGCCGCAATTGTGGACAGAGGGATGTGGTGCGCGCTTAACGGAAGCTGAGACTTGGACTTGTCTGCCAGCGTGGCGGCATCGGCGCAAAATGTGGCCCGGTCCTCTGCTAGTTGCCTGTCATCAAAGTCTCTGCCAGATGCGCGCAGGAAGGCATTGAAGTTGAGGCCGATGGCGATGTGAAGCGACCGTGCTTCCACTTGGATGGCCTGCATAAAGGCTTCGTGCTCTATTTTATCCTCGACGGTCAAATCATGCGTGGGGCTTACATCTCTAACGCATCTTGGATAGGCGTGTCTGATCATGTTGTATATCAATTCGATTGATTTGATGTTTTCCCTCGGGCGTCGCAGCAGCTGCGGTATGATCAGGTACACGCTGATGTCAAGACAGTAGAAGTCGTACGGCCAAAGCGGTTTCTTCGTCTTGCGTTTGTGCCATGGCCGAGGCGTAAGATGGCGCGGCTCGGCCGCTGCATCAAACACTTTGAATATCCAGGGATAAATGTGAATTTCACTGTTGAACGCGCTTGACCGAAGCTACCACGTCTCGTGTCAGTGACTCGGGCCAAATTGGTTCCAAGGGTTAGTCATGGAACCGGACAAGGAGTAGCACTGGTTCTGTACACATACCAATTGTATTGCGGCAAGCTTCAGAGCGTCATCAGAAAACTGAGCTTGATCTTGTAGTTGTACATCGTTATTTAACACGGCAGTGATCAAGTGCGCCAGCCCGTCCATATGGCCGCGAGACTCATCAGCACCGTCAACCAGCCACATGTGGCAGAAGGAGAGCACAAACACAGCGAGCAGGGTGTCCGTCTGGTACCGGATGACGGGATTATCCAAGCTCTCGCGGAGCGCGCCCAGGGCAGACGTGTACTTGTGGAGAGGCCCGGTGCTTGAGCGGCATAGTTGCAGTCGTGATGACGATGATGATGACTCCACAGACGCCAGGGACTCTACAATACCAACCATTGCGGCGAGAGACGCATCAAGCACCGGGGAGTGGCCAATGTGCTGGACGGTGGACTTCCTCACTATGGCACTGAGATTGTATCCGGGATGACGGGCCTCAAACAGACCAACGATGGAGTCGGCCAGTTTGCTCGCGCCGTTGCTGGGCGGGCTGGCGACGCGCGAACGAGCCGCGGCGTGCTGCTGGTTCACGACGGAGAGCGAGGCCGACTGATGTTTAAATCTATACCGCTGCTGGCCAACCCCTTCACAAGGCAGGTTCTTCCGTGCGCACAGAGAGCACTTTGGCTGGGCGCAGTCGCACTGATTTGTACGATGAACGAGGCAGTTAGCCCTTTTTTTTTTCCCGGCCGGGGTTTTGGTGGCGCTGTGGTATACCTTTTTCTTCCATTTTCGACAATTGTCACAGCCGCGATACGCCCCCATGGCTAATACCAAACCAGGGCCGGGCCGGTTGTTGGCGAGATGCGCAAGGTGGGTTGGGATGATTCCATGGATGACAAAGGTGACAACCCACGCGGTGGCGGAGGGTCGTTCCTTTTTCCTTCTTTTTTTCTTTAAAATGTTGAGCCGTCAGCGAGCATCCTGGAGCGGGTCAGCATATGCAACTTGCAACTTGCAGACCCACTGGGCATTGGTTCAGAGATAATTGTGTTGCATTTGAAGAATCAGGTCTGACAAGGAGTCAAGGACTATGGATTTTGGAGCGGGGTGGCATTGCAGATTTGATATTGTCCGAAGGCGACTAGTCGACCTGGATTGGTGCCTTAGGCCGTGACCCTTTTTATATGTATTCAGGCTTACATACGCAGCCGTTATTTTAGTTGCGGAATATACTGTATGCTTGACTGAGCCAGATACTCCGTCTTACTGCGGCAAATAATCGGGTCATGCCGAGTCCATTGCAGGACAAGGCTGACGTGAGCGCCATGCCCCGATGGCTCTCGGGATCAGAGCCTAAGTGAGCAATTCCTATGATGCCTGCTGCCGCAAACAAAGCGCAGGACGGCACGCTGTATACCGAAGTTACTGTCTGGCTAGCCTCATGGCAATGTGTAACTTGGGCTGGGGAAAAATAGTGCTAGCAATCGAACATTGCCAGAGAAAATGACGGTCGTATTGATTCTAATCGAGGCTACATTGTGCTGGCAGTGGCCAAATCCGTTGTAGGCAGTTGTAAAGAGAATGCTTTCAACTGAACCATTCGCTATTCGAAATCCATAAAGGCCTTTGACTTCACCCATGTAACCGAGTAATGCCCTATACACTGAGGACTATCAGCCTGTCGATGAATGCGTATTTCCATGTCCACCAGCGAGTCGCCGCTTTCCTGACGCTTTGGATTGCCAATTGAATCTGGCACGGGGATCTGATGGGATATTCTACGCTCGCAGCTCCTTTGCGTATCTGTTTTGACAAGAGTGCATCTTGTTGCCTATCCACCATTCACGTGAATGATGGGCGAAGATGTGGGGAGAGAAGGTGTGTACTGCCTTGGCCGAGAGGGACTCGAGCCCGTCTTACCTCACTGCAGCAATTTTTAGCTTTTTAATGGTAGACCAATATAAGTTATGTGCCGAGCTTCTTATTGCACCAAAAGCAAAAGAGCCTCCCTCAGGTGGAGGATCTATTACCCCTTTTTATCCTTCTACACCTCCTCACCATATTCGATGACGACATGGTAGCATCAACGCATCGGTGTCGGGATCGAATCTACGAGTAGGGCTTGGTTGTATCGACCCTCGTCCAGGACGCCACTGTTCTTGAATACTTACTGTAATGTTCCTTGCTCGAAAATGGGAGGGTGAGCTAAACCAGGTTGCCCCGGGTTGGTGAATTATGTTAGTTAAAAGGGCATAAGGCATAATGAATCTTCCGTATAACGGAGGGCCACCTACTGCGGGTTGGCTGTTTCTTAGACGAGACCACTTTCTTCATCCGAGCTTACCCGTGCCAGTCTCTTCCACACTTGGTCCTGCGGAGGGGCCTTGAAGCTGGCTAACCCGGACATTTCACAGCCGGACCGAGGGCGGAGAAGGTGGGTTTCCGCTAGGAACCCGGATGGAACCCCGCACGTTTCCCCCGGGGCCGGGGCCGACATTGCCGGCCCCCGTCGGATAGTAATCCCGTTCACAGCCCACTGTTCAGTGTTAGCCATGAGGCGTCTATGCATTTGTGCGGTTGGAGGATAGCAGGACCGACCAACGGACGGGAAGACAGGTTCGTGGAATGCGCCAAGCTTACGAGAGTATTACGAAATACTGCGCATTGAGAGCTCAGTCTCATCGAGTCAGGGATGCGGATGTGTCAACCTGTCAGATGGCGACATGCCTATCGGCAACTTTACCCCAGGCTCGTGCCACCAGGAAAATCAAGCGGCTCCAGTTCTCTAGCTCTGTCCGCGGTCGGAGGCCACGTGAGGTCTAGGAATGAAGTGCAGGTAGGGAGTAAATGCCGCCGCCCAGATGGGCTGAGATGCGTATCAAGCTTTGCAGTGGCTGAACATCGGGTGGGGTCTGGCCAGCCAGGAGCAGAACTATTCGCTCCAAGGCCTCGATCACATATTGGAAAAGGACGCAAGAGACTTCATATGTCGGGCGCAGTGCGGGAATATGGAGCGCGGAACCTGAGTCGCGGGACCTTTGACAACGAGGTTTGCGGTACCCCCCATTTAGTACGCCTCTTGTACGTGAGCAAATCAGAGAGCTCGTGCAAGCTCTGTGGTTGAAGCCATTGACGTGCTACTTTTTCTATAACCACAGCCTAGGTTCGAGTGAGGGAATACAATCAGCGACCCTTGGAGAAGCTGCTACGCAGAACTTGTCGAGCAATGTAGACATTATTGACAGGGCCATCTGCTACAGTCACCATGTCTGAGTTGTAAGGAGTCAAGCTTTGGTTGCTTACCGTGTCATTGGTATCTTCGGGGTAGCTGAGTTGGTGATATTTGCGGGAGAAAAGAAAACAACCTTTTGAATCCCGCCTAGCCGCAATGCACAACACCCAGGCCTAGCATAGCTGGCATCGGCAGTCTCGAGTCAAGAGAGTAGACCAGTGCCAGTGTCGAAACAAAGTGAGGAGTCACCGAGCTGGCGTACCAAGTTGAAAAGGCACCAAAATTTCTGGCCCAGAGCGTGGCGTACGGCTATTCCAACATTCCACGTGGTGGCGTTGATGTTTGCCTCCACATCCACAAATACTAGGTTTCGATGGCTGCCAGATATCTTCGATGATCGAAGGGCGAAGCTTACCATTGCATCGGTACCGGGCCCGCAGGAGAATAAAAAGGAAAAGGACCCTAGTTCGCAGTGACATGGACTTTGACTCGTATCCGTGTCTCAACCAGTATCAAAATAGACATGCTCTATCTTACATGACCTTGAGATGACTCGGTCCGTCCCTGTACCCAGCAACAAGGATCATCCTAGCAGCGTACGACGAAGCTCAACCGACGCTACAGGAACATCTGCGCCCAACAAACGTAAGCTCCCAAAGCGAAACCATGCTCCCAACTGTTGCCAACCTAACTTGATTCAACCAGGCTATAGGTCCATCACCACCATGACTCCAGAACAGCTTGCGCGGAAGCGGGCCAACGACCGCAACGCTCAAAGGGCCATCCGCGCTCGGAGAAAGGCCCAAGTTTCGCAGCTCGAGGCCGAGCTGGAAGCACTCAAGAACAAGCCGCATGCGTGCTGTCGCAAGTTGCTTCAGAGGAACCTGGAACTAGAGTGCGAGCTGGCCATGATGAAAGGGAGCCCGCTTCCATGCCCGTCGCGCGCCACACCTCCAGGCCACGCCGACGAAGGCACGACAGTCGCCCAGTCGCCCGAGATGCACGGCGTCAACGGCCAGTCGTACCCCAATGGCGAGGACCCAGCAAGAACTTTGCTAATGTCCCCCGCGGGCGGCTATGACTCGCCCAGCGAGACAAATAGTCCGGTGGCAATGATTTATCCCCAGTGCGGCCTAGAGAGTAGAGACGCGCCTCTGCAAGGCCCAAATGCCGCAGTGTACACCGCAAACTACGCCGCAGACAATGTTGCCATGGCCAACCAGGCCCTCGTAAGCTGCGGACAGGTCTGTCCAACGATACCAAGTCCTTCCATGCCAGACTTGTGGCCCACGGGGACGCCTTACGCACACGCCGGCGGCATCATGGACGGTCTAGTAACCCTGGGGGCTCAGAATATGGTGCCAACAGCGAGCACAATGTCTTCACCTTTCCCGCAATGATTCACATCAGCAGCACGTACACGTTTGCAGCAAAGGAAAAAAAAAGAGAAAAAGAAGAGAAAAGAAACATATGGTGTCGGCATATCGCCTGTGCGCGCCAACACAGCAGAGTACCTTGAAGCAGCGCGATGGTTAACGAATTTTACATGGTGTAACGATTATTTTGCCCAAAAGCGGCCGTAGGCGTCAAAGGAGTATTTGGAGATGGAGGCAATGTATAATAGGAAGCATGTCGATGTACTACAAACCAGAGATATAGAATGAAATCTTGCATCCCAAACAAGAATGAATCGTTCATCTCCGCACGCGCTTCAGGGATAACAGTTCACGATGCATTTACACGTACTCAGGGTGACTTGAGCCACTTTTCTATTAACCACTGGGTACGTTGCCAAGGAGCCAAGATACTTGGGGAAGGCCTCATACATATTATTTCAAAGAGGCAAAGCTGGAAGCTGTAGCCCAATACTGCGACTGTCTTGCCTGCGTTTCCATAGAAGGATGTAAAGCGCGAGTCAATCTCCGCTTATCCCTAGTACCGTTTCATTCTTGCCATGACTACTCGCAGAGGCTGACCTAAAATCAAGACCTTTGCTGCGCAGCCGATGGCTCACCGTAACCAGAGATTGAATCTGGAAGCAAAAAGGGTCTCTGAGAATGATACATGGGATCAAATCTGAGCGGATAATGCTACAGTCGTGGAATTACATTAGCTCCAATTACGTTAATATTGACCTACCAACATGAATCGGTCCGAGTCCGATCCATTTGGTTGTTTACCTAGTAGTTGCGGCTCAGCTGTATCAAACTATAGTTAAAAGAAGAGTACCTGTATATGTATTGGTATAAATAGTTAAGCCACTCAATATAAATTGTTAACTCGTATTTTTATACATATTGAAAATTTATATAAATAGGCTAGTTACTTCAACGTAGCTAGCTGGCTTACTCCAGAGTCAAGTTTCAGCGCGAATCACACTCGAATGGTCTCGTCGCGCTGCACCGATTAAGCTCCCGGGAGAAAAAGGCCAGAGCGAGGAAATATTGCACCGCAACATTGAAACAGAGTATATTAATGCTGATGTAATGATGCCCTTCATTCAAGTCCAGCGGGAAACGTGTACAATCATGAAACCCTGAAATACCTCACACCACACTATTGAAATGAATCTGATCAAAAGGTGTGTACGTGGACCAGTTAATCGCAGAGACGTTCTTGTAGCAGTGCGTGGTCTGAACAAACTCATGGCTGGACATGGCTCCTTGTTGAGCATCTTCAAGCTGGGTGCACTGCGGCAGCAGACGGACTGGAACACACTCCTCGGGCATCTTCCAAAGAGTGCCGGTGGGGTTGGGGAACTGCTTCAGGATATTCATCCTCTTGCCGTTGTGATACTTGACAGGCTCGTTGCAGAGTGCCAGCCCAGGCACTTTGAGAAAGGCGTAAGGATGGTGGCCTGGGGAAATGGCAACCCCATGCTGGCCTGGACCGGCGTCTAATCTGAAGACAAAGGCGTCGGCGACATTTTCTTCCAGGCGAGAGCTGAGGCCGTATGAGATCCTAGGGGAACCGCCGTCAGAGAGGATATGGCCGTGGCCGGAGCGAAACTCATCCTCGGTTGCGTTTTGATAGAAGACACGCGGCGTTTCAGCAGTGCTGCTGGTGCCAAGGAGATTGCTAGGAGGGCCAATATGAATGCTACTAAGGAACATGTGGTGAACAGGGTCTGGAAGCTCGCGAGACAGATCGGTGTTGTTGACGACCAGGTGGAAGCCTTGGGAAGAGAACTTTTCTGGATAGTCGCTACCGGGCTGGCTGGCCATGGGAGAAGCGGCCGCAAGGCTAGCGAGGACAAGGGCAGCAGTATACATCATCTTGAATGACGCTGTTTAGGAGGTGTAAAGAACTAAGGCAAGATGAGGGCTCTGCTTTGGTGGTTTTTATATGACAGGCTGCTGCAAGATACCACCACTGGCAGCTATGGATCGCATTGAACAGTGGACTCGTCCTGAGATTGAATCTATCTGTCGAGGGAATTGAGGCCCTCCTTATAGTTGGAAATCGGAAGGCATCGAAAAAGCCACCTTTCAATTGAAAAGACCCTGATTCGAAGGTTTTAGCTAGCTAGCTTCTATTTTGAACCTTAAAGCCTAATTTGAACTTTATCACCTAATTTGGACCTTCTAGATGACGAAGGCCCGGATTAGATGATTCATTTGATGACCTAGATTACGTACTTGTTGACAGAAGAATTGTGTGTTTGGAGCGGATGACAGATGCGGATGGTATAAGAAGGGACAAGGTGGTATGGAAGACACTCAAGAGGTCGTAATACGTCTGGCGTTATTAAAGTTCGCGCTTAACGAAGTATTACGTTTATAAGGATTACCGTGATAAAAAAAACATGGCATTTAACCCTTTTAGCCGTCAGCACATTTGGCATCGCCTTTGACTCGACCGTGGCTCCCAGCGTGTTAGCAGCTGCAAACATGACAGGACTCATCAGTGCTGGTGACAGAAACCTCCTTCTCTACGCATATTCTGAATGTAAAAATGGAAATCGATCCCAGGATTGCAACAAGGTCGTCATTCGCCTGCAGCTAACCAGTTCTCTGCCTCAAAAGCGTTGCTTCTTCTTGTCCCTTGGGGTCCGCGCTTGCGCTCTTCAGCTTCATCTTGTATCTTGAACTTGGCAACTATGATGTGTTGCACTGACAACAGCAGCCAGTCTGTTTTTTGACTCCGAGCCGTAATGGTTGGACAAGCTCGGGCTGCCGTAAAAAAAAACATGTCTTGCCCAGTCTTTGAACATGGCCTCCTTCTCGGTAGTCACCAGCCAAGGAAGCAAATTCAATGTAGAATTCTCATCTTTTTAAGTTGATATCCGCGCGTAGGGAGGGGTGGAACGGAAGCCGTCGATTCACCGGCTTGGCTGCAAAACACGACAATGTTGGGATGAATGGGGAGTGTGGGCAGAGGCCTCTGACTTTTCTTTTTGCATTCTATTTGGGATCCTTCTCCATTCCTTTCTGAAAGATGTTTTATATTTGCAGTACCGTCTAGCTTGGGTGGCGGATGCCCTCACGGGGAGAGTTGTATTTAAGCCCTTGATCTGCCACGACATGCCATGAAGAACAAAGCAAATGGCGCGAGGACATTGCCATTCTTTCAAACATACCACAATTCCTAGGAATTGAGGAATATCAATTTCGTCTGCTCAGTGGAAGAATGCGATAATTGTATTTACGACACGGGCTACGACGACTAGCTGTTTCATGAGGCAGACAGCCAGGCTACCGTTATCAACACAGGGGCGAATAAATAGAAGACTGATGTTTACGCAACCGGATCTCTTTATTACCGCTATACCAGCAGAGTTGCATTTCAACCCCTTACATGTTTAACTTTGCGAAGTGTTGCGGTACATTCCAGCGCAGCACATTCACCAACTTCATCGCACATCTTCCCGGCGGTAAAAATTTCAGGGGTAAAATTTACCATCCCAACGATAAAAATGAAATATAGAGTGTTTTCTTCGGTATGTCACGGTTCTCCTGTTTGGGTACGAGCAGGCACTCGGTGTTTGTAAAAACGATTGGCCCTACCTAATGCAGTGCTGGCACGAATATTGGGATAGGTTGAACAATTACAAAACAATTGATAAGAATGAAATAGATCAAAATTGAATGCAGTAAGATGGCTACTACTATAGACCTTTCCGCCCACAACTCAATCCGCAGACGACATGCTGTCCTCACACCCACATCAAGGCACGAACCACGCCACAGTTTCGTATTATTTACGCTCTGCATTCAAATCATCACAGCCGTTATCTGATCACCATCTCCGAAGATCTTGCCCTAGGCTCCATCGTCAGAGCCATCACCCGCAGTCACCATTTTGGGTCGCATTGCTCGGCCGAGTGACCGAGCGGCCTATCGCGGGACCCCCTGTCCGGAATGGCCAGTAGTAAAGGGCTCAACGTTGGGTAGCAAGCTTCGCTACGTTTTTTTCCCGCTTGTGATGACAGTTCCCCTCACGGACTCTACGTAGGAACATGTGGATATTGGTGCAACCTTGATGGAATAGAGTTTAGACGTCGAGGGGCAGCACTGGCACTGGGAACATGGGTAAGGGCCGGAGAAGCACTACCATCGGGCACTGGATATGAGCTTTGACGTTTTTCTTGTTCAATGGGTACAGAAGCGTAGCATGTTGGTGCGGAGAAGAACGATGCCCGGCATTCAGACTTGGACGAGGAAGCATCATATATAGTACCTGGATGGGAAAACCCGAGCAGTACTTGCTCTTGTAGTTGCAAAAAAAAAAAGGGCAGCTTGGTAATTCAAACCGTCCTGGCAGCAGGAGCGCGGCTGTCTGGAAGTGAGTCGTGGAAACAGCTCAAGCCATGTTCATTTGAGCCAAGCCCCAGGGCCCTTGAAAGCATGTGTTCCGGAATGAACCCCTGGCAGACAGTATATCAAGGCCATCACTCGTCGATTGGCCAATTAGTTTGCCGGGTGCTCGATCAGACGTTGGAGGCGACACTTGTGGCGCTCAAGTTTGTTGGTTGAGTTCAAAGCATGGCAGCAAGACAGCAGCCGTTGAGCCAGGTGCTATTCGTCACGGTTATTTTCCTTGCCGGGTTCGAGGCCAGTGTGTCGGGCGTAATACGCCGAGCGACAAGACGGTTCTCTCGCTCCACGGGTGGTCCGAGACCCGCGGTGCCCAACATGATGCGAAGAAGAAAAAAACATGTCATTCCGGCGCAGGAACAACATGAGATGCAATCACAAAATCGGAGCATCCGGGGCCATTGTGGTTCGACGTGATGCCGCATTCGCCCTGCCTGATTGGGAAATACCGGCTCCCACGCCGGCACTTGGACGGGAGCACGGGATTACGGCAATTTGTCCGCCATGGAAACAAACAAACAAACAAAAAGAACCTTCGCATTTTTTTCTTCTCCCAGCCAGACGTGTGCAAAGCACTCGTAGAGGTGGTTTCTGGTCTTTTACGAATGGCAACAATTACTCGCGTCATGGGCCGCATGTCCAAAGTATTCGAGCAGCGCCGCCCAAAGACTCCACCGCCGCCCTTGGGCCCCATTAATATCGAAATTTACGCCAGATTCCCGTGCCATCAAGACGGAACGTGTGGATATGCTAACCCTGAAACAGAGTCAGTTTTTTTCTTTTTTTTTTTTTTTTTCCCTTTCTTTCTGAGATGCAATCACAAAATCGGAGCATCCGGGGCCATTGTGGTTCGACGTGATGCCGCATTCGCCCTGCCTGATTGGGAAATACCGGCTCCCACGCCGGCACTTGGACGGGAGCACGGGATTACGGCAATTTGTCCGCCATGGAAACAAACAAACAAACAAAAAGAACCTTCGCATTTTTTTCTTCTCCCAGCCAGACGTGTGCAAAGCACTCGTAGAGGTGGTTTCTGGTCTTTTACGAATGGCAACAATTACTCGCGTCATGGGCCGCATGTCCAAAGTATTCGAGCAGCGCCGCCCAAAGACTCCACCGCCGCCCTTGGGCCCCATTAATATCGAAATTTACGCCAGATTCCCGTGCCATCAAGACGGAACGTGTGGATATGCTAACCCTGAAACAGAGTCAGTTTTTTTCTTTTTTTTTTTTTTTTCCCTTTCTCTCTTCTCTATTGTGCTTGCACGTATGGCTTCTCCACTCCCAACCTGGGGGGGGGGGAAACACACATTCACGGACGCCCCCTCTCCAATGTCACCCTCCCTCGTCAAGTTTGGCTTCCATGCCACACGTAGCCTGCAGAAGGCTTGTCTAGGACCACAAGTGTCGGCACAAACTTGTTGAAGTCATACCGTGTTTTGACCAACTCAGCACTTGGTCTCGTACGAGCTGGGTGCGAAGGGGTCGCAATGTTAGCAACCTACGTAATGGCAATATCGTCGCTCGCATAAACACCATGGGCAACCAGGGGGAATGGGCTCGTGCGTAGTAGTAGGGGCTTGGCCAGCACATAAGCTTGCCAAGGTGGTGTCCAAGCAGGCAAACAAGCTAAGAAACTAGCCCCTTTTATACGTGACACCAGACGAGCAAAAGGGCTCCAAAGACGGCGGTAAACAACAGAGATATCGCACGACGGCCATGTTTTGAGATTTTTTTTTTCCCCTCTCGCCCTCGGAAACAAACTGTGACTGTGACTGCAACGCTGTGACCCCCTACAATGCTACGACCCCATAACCCTACATGCCAACCATGCGTATCGATCGAGTACTCGTCATGGTACTCTAGCAGTACCTTTTCGTCTAAAAGTTGGATGCCGTGAGATCCACCTGCGTCCCACTCGAGACATCGGATCGGCAGCCAGTTGGCGGCGGCCGACCAAGCATGAGGTCGTTCGAGCTGATGAGGAAAATGGCTAGTCATGGAAGGGACGGATTGTTGAACGTTGACCCTTGTTTCTGTAGAGAGAGTGTGTGTTTATTTTTCTCTCTCTCTTTTACACTCCTGCCCGTATTATTGTATAAGAGACCCTGATCCCGGTCCGGGTTTGTTTTTCTTCTTCTCCTTTTGCTATTTTGTACATCTGTGCAAGAGTTACTACAAATAATCATCGTGTCCGGCCCTCGTCACGCACGGGTGGACACTCTTGACAATACACAGTCACAAACTCACAATGGACTACCAGCCCTCGCAACGACGACTCTCCTCGTCAACATGCTCTATTGCGTCGAACTCGTCATGGGCGTCTCATGACAATGACGAGTGCCCTCCGGTGGCGACGTCTCGTCGGTGCTCCGTCCGGTTCTTTACGTATCAGCACGAGCGCAAACCAAGCACGTCGTCGTCGTCGGCTTCGAGCCGCAGCTGCGAGGGCATGAGCAAGAAAGAGACGCGCGAGCTATGGCGCTGCATGCTGCATCTCCAGCAGAGGTACGGGTGCTATAATTCCACGAGGATAGACCTGGCGGTGAATGCCGGCGAGGCGGGAATCGACCTGATGCGTAAGTAGAGTTGATGTTTCCATGTTATTCCCCTTGAATCCTGGCTGCGATGCCATGTGATGCCATGGTCTTGAATCTTCAAGTGTCAAATTGCTGGCGTCTTGGCTTGCAGCCTTGGGCATGTCAGGCCACCTCAGGCCGCAGTTGCTCCCACATGCAGCCTCAACATTGAACATTGAAAGTGCTGGTTCGCAGTGGGGCGTCCAGTCAGTGGGCCTCAGCGGGCATCAACTGACGGCGCATTCCAACTGCTGCAACTGGGCCCGTGGGCAAGGTTACAGCGGTCGGCCACAGCGGGCCAGCACCAGACTCGAGACTCGACATCAATTGATGGCTGGGACCATACGTTGACATGTGCTCCAAACATGCCCAGGCAGTTGTGGGCCCGCCACAATTGATGCAACGTTCAATGTTAAACCCCAAACATCAATCCACCAGACTCTTGACATCAAGCATCAAAAGCCAAGTCTCGAGTCTAGTCGGCTAACACGGGAACCCTCCCTCGGCGCAGCCAACCCTTTCATCATCGACACGCTCAACGACTCTCTCATTGATCTTCCCGACGAGGGATGGGAGATGCTGGACCGCTGCTTGCGAGGCGCCAACAAAGAGCCGCAGACGCAGACGAAACCCAAGTCGCAAAAGAAGCCCTGGCGTCGGACTCGAGTCGGCATTTCCGTCCACCAGACGTCATGAAGACGTCGCCGCCGCCCATGATTAATCACGCACGTCTTTGACCTTGATTTTTATTCCCCCGTCATCCTTTGTTTTCCCTTTGTCTGTCATGAGCCCGAGGCTTGGGATTGGGGAGGTACTTTTTGGTCAGAGTCTAGGCATGGAGTTGGGAAGGGAAGCGAATGGTTTTCATGCCATGGGAGAATCAACTCGACTCACTTTTTGGTTTTCCTTTGGTCAATCTTGTTGGAAAATGTCTGTTGTTTTAAAAAGCACTGCGATACCCCTTGGACTGAGAATGCATCACTAGATACCTGAACTGACAAAAAAAAATCCAATTTGGACCCTGAACGACCAACGTATGCGACTATGAACATGGCATTTATTCCATCACTCGTCGGTCATTCAAGTCATTCATACCAGACTGCATCTGACTTGACTAAAGTCGGGTCTTGCAAACTTGGCTTCATCGTTTGCCTTGCGCCCTACGGCCAACGTCGTACATCTTCCCACTTCACCATCCAACCTCGCATCATGGCAACATGGCAACATGAACCGAGCAAAACCCCGACCTCATCACTCGACCCGCCTTGGCCGGCTTGTGACACCTCCTCCGTCTGGTTGCACCCCTCGGCAATCGGGCCCGGTCCGATCCCCCGCTTCAGCACCCCTTCTCTTACTCCTTGAAGCCCGTTATCGGTGGCAACTTTACCAGATATAGGATATCCCCAAAAACATCAATTGATTCCGCCCATTTCACACAAGTCGCTGCAGCTCCGAGTCTTGTGCAGTGCGCCATGTCCATCCATTTCCGATGACGGCTCAGCACAACGCGGCGAGTGAGTAACCGGCGCCACGGTCCGTAAAGCCGTTCGCGGCGCCCTTTTTATTTCTTCACACTCAGCACAACACATCATCGTCACCGAGTACAGCACAGCACGGGTGGATTGCGTGCTCTCACCCCCATCATTTGTCAGCTCGGCACGGACGACAGCCCCGGCCGTTTGTACCCCAGACTCATCCGACGTCGCCACGTCATTTTCTTGTCTTATGTGCTGATGCACGGGCTTTGAGGCTTACCAGATGGGGTAATAGCATCAGACATAAGTAGCTTGTTTCCCGCTGTTTGAGTGCCGGATGCGCAAGCCCTGTAGTCCTCAGTGGGTGGGCGTCTCTTCGCTTGTAGATCCCGATTGCGAGAACCGGAGGGCTGCAGGTTAGAGGCGCAGGTAGATGAGAAGTACATATACCTTGTCGGTTCCCATTCGACGTGCTTCTCGTTTACCACGTTGCAGTCATGACAAGGTCAGGCTGAATCATGATTTTGCTGCCCTGTTGCGGCTGCTTGTCGGGGTTGGCGGTCAAAGTTACCACATCGCGTGTCTTTTTTTTCCAAATCATAGGTAGGTTTGGATCAGCTGTGCTTGAATTTGGCAGTTGGACTGTTTGCCTGCTGTTTGTGAACCGCTCGCCGTAGAATGTGCGGATATAAAGTAATGTCCAAGTCGCCAACACCGACGTCACGTACTGAGATGAATGGCAAGAGAATAGCGCACCAACGCCACTGATAGTTCTGTACAATGGAAATAAATAATCAGAAACTCCAGAAGTCGCCTCGGGAACAAAATACATCACCGACTTGGAATATGGGCCATGCTGTTTGTTCAGTCTCGTCTGCTGACCACCCTGGAGCTCATCGACCTCATATGCTCCAAAAAACAAAACAGCTTTACGTATGTACCTCTTTTTTTCATATTTAAGAAGATGAAACGTAATTAAACAAGAGTAATACGCAAAGTAGCTCCAAGTTTTGATGACAGTGCCTTCGGAAGAGAGTTATGCGGGAACACATGCTCCGAGTCCTATTACCTATTCGGCGGCGAGTCCATCATGATGTTTATGACTGCCCTTGAAGAGGACTTACCTGTTGCAGAAGCAAAATATTTGTCATTGCACTGTCTTCTTTAACTGCGAATTCAACTGCGAAATGGATTTAGGGCTAATTCAGAACAAGCATATTTCCCCAGAAATGTGTATCCAGCCAAGCGTCAACTTATACTTGCAGCCAGATCGGAGTGTCTGGAACGTAACGGCTGGGTATATGCTCTATTGACCAGCCTATGGTAATCGTTACCAATACTGGTACTTGTAGCGCATTAAAAACAGACCTCCAAGAAACGACATAATATCCGACTTCTGCGGGAAAAGACGACCGCCGTCCGTTTCCTATGTCCAACGCTCAATGAACATGACATGATGAAGCTTCCCCAGAAGCGTACTTGTCATAGGTCCCGGACGCCGGTATATTTACCTACACTAGCTTGATGGATAGAGTGGACGGCTCAGGATTCCCTGTACCTCTAGCATCTGGTTCATGAATGGGAAGAGGGCACATGTAGCTCTTGGTCATGGCCAGCGTAGTCATTAAAGAGTGTCGCAATCCAAGTAATTCGATAATTTGGGGGCGGCTAACATCAGTCACGGATAATAATGAGGTATTAATCATGTTTCAATAAATGATAGTCATAAACGAAGGAGCCACCCATTCAAACGGGAAACCTACTCGTCATCTCCGGAGCTCTTTTAGCATAACAGGAGTGGGAGCGAGTTAAATTTATAGCGGATAAGTCTCCGAGATTATAAAAGTCTGGTCTGCCCCTAACATGAAGTGAAGTGCTCATATTACTAAAGCAGCATGCTAAAGTAAGCTGTACAGTATATGACTTGACGAGATACGAGACGGTATTCAGGCAAAATATTTTATGAAACCTGTCTGCCTCGAATGCTTATATCGCATGCACTAGATCACTTCCAGGTACACCAGCATATCTGTAATTTTAACAGAAGAGACTCATGTAGAAGCGCAGGCGTTTTTACCTTGTATGCCTGTGTATCTCTTGGAATGTGTTTCAACATACGGAGGGAGAGGCATGGCTGCTGATGCTGCAAGTTACCTTTCGTCTCCGTTCCGTCTGGCCGTTTCTTTTTGAGCCGTGTTCAACTACAACTGCCAGTCACGGAATTTCGTAGCACAACCGGGTGACAAACTTGAGAGAGTAGGCATGGCAGAGCGCCACAAGTTGGTGTTTGTCACATTCTTTGGAAAATTTACAACGGCATTCAGAACATGTACATGGCCGCATACAGATTCTGAGATTCCCGTTTCGTCAGTCTTCCATCTCGGTCCCAGGCTGGGTGGTGATGCATATTTCTCGACAGCATCCCAGGAGCTGCGCAAGCCTATCCATGGTTGGGCAAATGTTGGGCCAATATTTGCATTGGCCCGGCTAGTCAAAATCCTAGGCCCAATTCAAAGCTTCACGGACATGGGCTCGGCGAGTCAGCAATGTTGACACTACCGCAAACCGAGCAAGCCTTGATCAGCTTCACAGCAACTGTCAGACTCACCGCCAACTACACGACTGCTGCTCACACGACAAAGCAAAAACAAAGAAGAAAAGAGACTCTCACCGCCAGCATACACTAAAACACAGCCCATAATTTACAACGTATCACGGCCAAAAATAAATAAATAATAAGAATAGTACCGACATTGACCGTGTGCCAACCGCAAAATGGTCCCGTCATCATCTTACCACCCACTCACACTACACCACGTTCAGCACAGCTCACGCGGTCAAGAAATTCCGCCCATTCCCCCATAGCATCTCTATCATGGCGTCCAATTCCTCAGACTAAAAACGGTCTACGATGGGATTTGCACCACAAACACCAGACATTTGTTCACCGCCACCGGCAATGCCTTGCATACCCAACCTCCACCACAACCGTAACCACAACCACTGCTCCAAATCCACCTTCTCGTGCGCAACTCGACACATGTACACATCGCATCAATTTCATCAGTGGCTCTCGGAAGTCAGCGAATAGCAAGGCGCCACACCGCCCAAGAACCACCACTGCCGGGTATATGGGCGAGTTTCTTTTTCCCCAGTACCACGACCTCGGGCAGCAGGCGTGTTGGGCCTCGCCGGCTGTGGTCAGTCATTTGAGTCGATACTTGTACTGCACGGAATGGGGTGTCTGGACAAGAAGACATTCTGACGGCTTCTGTCACGCCTTGACACCAGTCACTTGACGTTGGAAAGTAGGCAAACCCCATCATGTCGAGCCAAGAGCACACCACACAGGTGCCTGTGCCACTTCCATTCACCATTGGAAAACGCTGCCAAGGCCGGTCAAGCAAACCAGAAGTTGTACCGGCGGCCAGTCTGTGGCGAGGCACACCATCGCGGGCACCAGACTCGTCACAAATGCAAGTCATTACGGGCCACCGGGGACCCGCGGTGACGACGAGGACTGGCAGCCTGGAAGACGGCTTTGCACAAGTATGAGCTCAATGGCGTCGGCATTCGGCGGGCGACCAAGACACATGCCATTTCTGGCTACCCTGTGGCTATTCTTGCGTTGGGTCTGGTGGAGTTTTGAATCGTCTTGGTCTTCGGTGGCAGATTTTTTTTTTTTTCCCCGAGTCTGCGGGCCGGAATAACCACACTTCCACACAAAGGTACCTTCCCTGCTCCTCCCAGTCTTCAGCTCAAGTGGAGCGTTTTTGGAGATGCCTCTCCACTTTCACCATCAATCCTTCAACCCACCACGTTCAGGACAAAGGGTGTCCCGATTCAGCCGGCGTTACTCCGTACTGTATCATCATCCTTGCTCGTGATGGATTCGATTTGGCCCACCACAAGGGATAAGGATGTGTCAACGATGGCGGCGAGGACCCCCAACCTGCATGTGAAAAGGCCATTACGTGCTCCATCGCACCACAGCCCGCGTCCTGGAAGTAAGTGTAGCTTGAAAGAGCATGCTGCCCGTGTTGACCTGCATTCCCCATCTATTTTGTCTCTGCATTGTTCAGGGCAGGAACACGTTATTGCCTGTGACGGAATGTTTTAGGTCAGATCGAGATCTCTAAAAAAGCATCTTAGTCATACCAAAAAAAGAAGCATGTGCACTCCGAATGGACTAAGCTTTTTGACAGGATGGCTGTGCACATC